AACGTTTCATCTCTAACAGTGAAGCGTGATCACTTATACCTCTAATGGTGTACGTGATAATATCTTACTGTACGAGACGAAACGTTGTACAGAAATGAATCTATTAGTTTTCATGCCTTTCGCTTGAATTTTTCCTTATTCGATCATTTTCACACACGCCATTTGAGCTACGCTTTTTTGCAAGCATTATTTGTTAGATCGATAAATCAGATCTACCATTACACACGTATATAATGTTGTTATAAATAAATAATTCCTCTATTTCTGAAAACAATGTTAAAACATCAATGAACAAAGATATAAGTATATACATATAGAGGAAGAGTTAGCCACTTATGTTGCTTGATGAAGAACAGATGCAGTGTGAGACTGCACAGTGATTATTCAAAAGTGTCAGTCACAAAACAAAATATTTTTTAAAACCAATAATATAGATTTTGATACAACATTTATTTTATATGAACCTGTGAATGTTGAAGGGTGTAAATTTTTCAAAATATTGTTGAGACATCAAATGAAATCATACTCACTATCATCTGGTGTTCAAGTCGTCTCAAACCTTAATACTGTCATGACTTATTACTAATCTATATTACAAAACTATTTATATGTAGAAAATAGCAGTGATGACAGTTTTTGCTAAAATATATTGTAGTAAATAACATATGTTTCAGATTTAATTAAAAAATACTGATTATCTGAAATATCAACAAATAAAGTTTGCATCTAAAAGTTACTAGCAATAGTAGCATAGCTTAAAGTTAAACTTGAAAGTATTATCTACTTTAAGTAAACAGTTCAAATGTCTGTACGATCAAACAAAAGGTGATTAATGTTACATTATTCTAATTAATTAATGGCTAGTGAGTCGCATTTTACGTGCTTTCGTAAATATCTTACTAGAAAAATATATTTAATAACAAAACTACGATTTACTACTTTAAAAGTTTAACATAAGATTAAATAGGGGAACATGCTTATTGATATTAAAATTATTAATAATAGATTGATATTATGATTTCCTATATTGTTGACAATGCAATGAGCTCATCCAGTGTTTATAATAGTTTCTGTAAACGTTACGCTATTTCTCAAAAATTATTTTAAATTATTACCTTAAGCTTTAAATAAGCGTCTTACTAGTAATAACGCCCAAGAGACTAGATATCACTTCACATCCTACATCTTTAACAATTGGATACACGCTGCTGTATCCATAGCAACCTTTTGCCCTCTAGCGACAAATAAATAATAAAAAGATAAATATTGGAATAGAGATTATAAATAATTGCTAACATTAACTTTAGGACTTGCAACTTTATCAGAATGGAATAGCCTATTTGAATGGTTCATTGTTTCCTCCCTCCTCTATAACCCATAATGTTTTTTTTTGTTTTTTGTTTGCAGTGATTGCGTTCAATAATGTGTCATTATCTATACATAAGCAAAACACATCTATATAAATAATACGCTTGCGTTTGTCTACCCGAAACTTTTCTCGTACATTTCTCGATCAAACACTAGAAATCTCATATAGTTAGAAAGGCTTTTGTCCAAGGTGTCTGGATTGCGTATTGGTTTTTCCATTCAGATTCACCTTACCTGATTTATTCTTAGTCAAACTTTTTATTGCAATGAGTATGCTACACGATGGAACAATGTTATTGTCATAGTCGTCAAATGATTACTGGCTTTGATTTACAACTTTAATTTTAAATTTACAAATTTAATTTTTAAGTATTTCACACAAACAACACTTAACCCGCATGTAATTTCCTAAAACAAAATGAAAATTACACTAAATACGTTGATATGGCTTTCTCCTTTTTTAAGGCCTAAAATACGCATGCGCAGTTCGTTCAAAACCACATTCTTATCACTTGTGAACATGTATTTTGACGTTTCTGCACAATCAACTAAGTTTGCCTTCATTACAACTTTACATTTACTTTACTTTGCAATAATTTAGCTTTGGTTGGTTTTTTAGACTACTATAAAAACTTTTAGCTACTTTTTTCTTTAGTACGGGTCTCATTCTTCGTTTTTGTGAGTTTCTTTGTTTCAACTCATAAGACCATGTCTTACAGTTTAACTTAACCCTTATAGCTGTTTCATACTCTGTACGCTACTATAAGTACTATTACTATACTTTATTGTTTACTTGCGCGTAGTTTTATTAAATAAAGTTGTGTCTACGTGAGTTAGTTTGTCTGAGCGTGTAATTTTTTAAAAATGGACCAGAGATTGAATCTGTTATCATTGACTGGTATTTGAAAAAGTTTGAAAGGTATTTTTGCACGTAACATGTTTATAGCTATTTGTACATTGTAGTATCAGAGCCTAAAATGTCATTATATATATTTTTATTATCTATTTTTTTACCATTAAGCTTATGCTGGTAATATCTCTGGAAAGTTTTAACCAAATTGAAAATTATTTACTTTAGTTCAGATTCTTAATTTAAAATTTGATAAGGTAATCAAAGCTATTTCTTTTAGGGGTTAAAAGTTTTATACATGATAATTGAGCAAAATTAAATGAAAAATATGACATTATGTAAAGCTCTAAAATAATTGTATATTTTAGATATTATTTATGATTTAAAATGTAGGTGGTTATTAGACATTTGTATGAAAATTAATTGTAAATATGAATATATATATATACATAACATCTAATTTTATATTGATTTATATTTAACAAGAGAATATTCATGATTTAGTGATGTTTCAATTCTTTTTCCTTCAGAATGTCCAAATCAGTAAAACC